TGACACCAAAGACAGTTTATCTTGCGAAGATATGATTTGTGGAGATACAACTTGAAAATGCTCAGAGCTTGTTTTATGCGTATGCTTACTTTGTTCTTCATTTTTTAACTTTAGGTTTTGAGTGGAACTGCATTTTTCTGAAGTTAAACTATCTTGTGCATTACCATGTACTTCTGAGTAAAAAGAAAATCAATCTTTAATAAATGAAAAAATTTTGTGAATGCTACTAAAGATATAACCTTCTGAATAATTACTATCAAACTGTATGAAAAAACACTTTAGAATCTTTTTTTTCCTTTGTCTAGAGAAATTAACTTCATTTGTCTAGAGTAATGGTTAGCACAAAAAATATTGTAATCACTTCTAACCAGTTATCAAACTTGCTAAAGAAAATTTGTTTTTGTTTTAATAAAAAAACTTGCACTAAAATATGTTTAACTAATTTAAGTATCTGACTTTCAAAACTTAACTATCTGAAAACACAGGCACAAATCATCATTTCAGTTTATCGTAAAAACGATTGCATCAAATCTTTTTTAAATTAAAAACGATTTTTATTAAAGTTGGTTGATCATGATTTCTCAACAAAATAAACTTTATTAGGATTTATGCTCTATTAAATTCATGTGATAATAAGTAAACTTTCATAGACCCCCAAAAATTATGAATAAAAAATGAAACTAAAAATAATGATAAAACTCTTTATTTAAATAAAATAATCTAAAAGTTATTGTACTAAATTCCTTCACTACTCTAAAAAAAATCATTGATTGATACCTTTTCTTTCAGCAGCAGTTGATATATTTTCAATACAGTTAGTATCATTTGGTTTAAACTACAAAATATTATTGTATTGAATTTTTTATAAAATACTACATTACATTACGTAAAATATATTATTTATTAGGGATGTACCCGATAGCATTTTTTAAATATGCGGCCAAATACCAGATAATCTGATTATTAAAAATTAGCCAGCCAGATATTTTTTTCATATTTGTAAACCAACAATATGTATTTTGAAGTCAAATATTATAAAATGAGGGGATCTAATAATTCTGCGCAATCACGCAAAAAAATTTCATTTAAAATCGTATGAAAGATAAGAAAAAATTGAACTCTTTCAACTCCATATAAATTTTTTTTTTCTTTAACTCCACAAGATTGTTCAAAAGCATGTTAATTGTAAAGAAAATAAATGAAATAAAAAAAAAAATGTCTTTCAAAGTTATACATTTACTTTTTTTTCACATTTTAGGTTAATTTCAATTAAAGTATCATCAAAAAAGATATGGATATTAAAGTATTCATCAAGAAGATATGAGATATTAATAATGAAAATTCAAAGCAAGTTCATAAAAAAATAGCTATGATGACTGCTTTAGATAACTAACAAATTAGTATTAGTAATACTAGATGGTTGGTTATCATCTACTGATCAAAGAATTAGCCCTAAATTATTAGCACCACTAGCAACTTCTCCATTTTTGGAGATTCATTTTATTAGATATTTGTATCTATGGGCAACTGTTTTCATTACAAAACCAACACGTATTTTGATAAGTCAAATATTACAAAATATCTCTACAGTAAGCAATTTCTGAATTTGAAAAAAAAGGTCTAAGCTGCTACCTCATCACAGAGAAATTATTTATACATAATAATGCAAATAAATTCATAAATGAGTGATAAAATCTCTGTTTCTTGTGCACAGTTAATTCTTAATTTTTTTAACTCTATAACTTGAGAGTTAAACTTTGTTGAATCTAATACCATTTAAATTATTGTAAAAAATTAACACTTTAGAATTTGTGTTCTAGGATCTCTCATTATGTTAATTATCAAATGGTTTGATCAAGTCTAAACTATGTATCTTTGAGACTGCAGCAATAGTTAAAACAAGTTTTTTTCTTATTGATTAGCATTAAATATCTGGTGTAACAAATGGGATTATATTGTTATTGGGCTGGATACCAGATAATATACAATATCACCTGATATCTGGCCAGATATTCTATTTGGCACACTCCTATAACTTATATAAATATATTACTAATTTAAACTAAAATTCATTTAAGTTTAAATTTTCATGGTCAAATAAATAAATGACAACTAATAACAATAATTTTCATATAAAACTTAAATTTAATTAAAGTTAATTAAAAGCTTAAAATGAAACTTATTTAGTACTCAAATAAACTACATTAAAAAAGTATTTATTTATAAAAATAACCTTTCTTTTCTTTGACACTTTTGCATACAAACTGTCTGATTGGCTTACATTAACACTGTCAGAATCATCTGACACTATACATGTGGGTGAAATTGGAGGAAATACAACACCATGGATTAAGTCCCCAACAAACAATTGAGCTACTCTTGAAATAAACCCTAAAGCAAGTACTATAGAAGAATGTGACAAGCTTAGATTGATTTTTTTAGCACTTGGAATGGCAATAACCAATGCAACTGATGGAAGTAGATAAGAATCAATATGGCGCTAAAATACAAAAACTGTCTTTTGTGACATTTTTTTCAAAAGATAGGCGATTTTATAATTAGTTACTATAATACATTATTAATAATATTTATAAAATAATATTCATTTTGTAAAATAATATTTATAAAAAAACATTCATTTTATAAAATAATATTTATAAAATAACATTCATTTTATAAAATAATATTTATACAATAATATTCATTTTAGGTGTATATGTGTTTATATATATATATATATATATATATATATATATATATATATATATATATATATATATATATATATATATATATATATATATATATATATATATATATATATAATAGTTTTTATAAAATTTTTATAGCATTAGATTTGCAGGTTTTATTTAAACTATTTTATTTAGAATTAATAAAATTTTTGTTTTTCCATTTTATTTAAAATAAGAAATTCCTTTTATCTATTTTTATTTTAAATGTTTTATTAAGGATTTGAATAAAAGGTTAGTTTTTCCATTGTTATTTAATATATATTATTTGCATTTATTTAGAATTTAGTAAAAACACTCATTTTATTGATTTTATCTTAATTTATTTAATTTAGAATTAAGTTTTATTTTATTTTAATTATTTTATTTAGAACTTAATTGAATTCTAAATAAAGCAATTAAAATTAAACAAATTTATTGAAAATAATACATTGAAATGAACATTCTATATAATTAAATAAAGCATTCATTTTTATGTGTTTTTATAAATTAATTTGTTCAGAATTTATAATAAAAGTTTGTTTTGCTGTCTTTATTTTAATTATTCTATTTAGAATTTAGTTTATATTTTAGAAGAATTAGTTTTTATTTTTAAAATTTAAAAAAAAATTAGTTATAACTTAATCAATTTTTATTTAGAATTTAAATAAAACATTTCTTTTGCCACTTTAATTATTTATCAAAAATTAAATAAAATGTTTGCTTTTATTTTCACAAGTTTATTTAGAATTTAAAAGCCTTTATTATGCCATTTTTATTTTGATTATTTTGTTTAAAAATTAAATAAAATAATTAAATTTTTCCATTTTCAATTTATTTAAAATAGCAAATAAAATTTAAAATAGCAAAGTCAAATTATGGGGTCGGCAAAAAATTGTCGACCTAAGACAATGTTAGGTTGCCAATTTCTTTTGAACTTTACAGATTCTTATAGCGTTTTTGTGTACATTTATGAGACAATGAGAATAGAGAGTCAAGCAAAAAGTAATAAAATACATATTTTTTTGATTAGTAAAACTCATTTTTCTTTTTAAAACTTTGTTATTTTGAAATTTTGTTCAGTTCTGCATCTATACTTAAATAATAAACAACAAATTTATTTGGTTTTTCTTTTAATCTACAGTGTGACCACAGACTACTTTGTTGCTATTAATGCTCACTAAGCTTTAAATCTAATAAATAAATAAGATGACTACGTCAATTAGAAATCTTAATCTATGCTTTAACACCTTGCAGTTTTTATATTTTAAAATAACTTCATTATTAAGTAATTAGTGAAACACAATAAAGATAGCATGATAGTGAGATAATTAGGATTGCATGAAATATACTTCTGATATAATTTATGAATAATTCAGCACATTTAAGTATTCAAAAATAATATCATACAATGATTTATATGCTTTTGTTTTATAAATTTTTTTTAAAAAAGTTTTTTTTAATACTACAATCCACCGCTGCAATATTATTACAGTGGTGGAATCCACCACTGCAATATTATTACAGTGGTGGAATCCACCACTACAATATTATTACAGTGGTGGATTGTAGTGTTAAAAGTAAATGGTTTTAACATATTTACTCTTATAAACTTTGCAATGCAGTGTTATTTCATTCATAGAAGAATTATATTTTGATAATTCTCATTCATTCTATTGAATAATATATTTAATAATAACTAAAAATATATAGATTAGGAAAAAATTTTTTGAATATAAGTTGAAAAACCTAAAGGGTAATTCCATATCAAATGACCTAGAAACTTTTAAAATTGTCACTCGATATCTCAGATTTTGCTGATTTTATATTTTGAAGGCAATATTTTCAAAAAAAAGTGGGGCATGGCCCCTGGCTCACGGAACCTCTGGTAGTCTGCCCTGGAAGCAATTTTAATACACATTTATCAGGACTACACAATTGCTGAAATTTTCAGAACTCCAGGGAAGTCTGGAAAGTAGTGAAAAATCTATTGCTAGATTCCATTGAAAAAAGTGGGGCACGTGACCCAGCCCTCCTTCCCCTAACCTAGTGTCTTGAGTCCTGGAAACAATTTTAACATGCATGTTCATCAGCACTTCAGAAAGAAAGGTTTCAGAGCTCCAGTTAGTCTGGAAGGTAGAGAAAAATATGGCAATATTCTGCTACAAAAAAATGGGGACCATGTCTTATTCTCCATATAAAGAAATCCATAATACTTGCAGATCAAAATTCTTATGTTTTCTGAAAGATCAATAGATATAGAATGTGTAAAACTTTTTGTTCATATCATCAAGGTCATGGGTTTTAAAAATCAGTTCTACTTGAATAAATAAAAATAAACTACTCTATAAATTATATTGATACTGTATTTTATAACATAATTTTTACTTAATATTAATTTGTTAATACTATTTTTTATTTAATATGAAGCACGTAATAGACAATCAATAACTGAAATAATTTGATGAACAGTTAAAGTACTTTTAGGATAAAACAGGTGAAGTGGTATGCAATACGAGAATAAAAATAATTCAAATTTTTTAACTATTTTAGTGTTAAAATTTAGAAAAATAGTAATTAAAAAAAAAAAAACCCTTTAAGGCTTTATAAATTATTAAACTACCATTAATTATTATCACAAATTAATTTATGATAACAGATGTCTGAATACTATGAGCTTTGTGGCTCCAACAGTTTCTAGTATGTTTATAATCTCATCTGCATATTGCCACTGAGCAATACTCCATAAGGGACTCACATATGTACAATAGAGAATGTAAAATGCTTTTGCATTCTAATACAGAATGTTTTTTAAGAAAGTATGATGCTTGTTTTTAATAGTTAGAGGGTCAATCCACATAATCACTGTTGTGATACTTCTACTGCAAAAGGTGAAAATATAAGCAAGGAATTTAATAAACCTCTTTTTTTTTTTTTTTTGTTTAAGTAATTTTGTTTACTTGTAGAAAACTTTCAGCAAATTAAAAATTTAATCTTTTTAATTATTTTTATAGGATGTTATATTAACTATAACAAATTTTTTTCTTTGTTCATGTTTTACATAAAGTAGTAGCTAGCAAAAAGTTGCGGTTGTGACATTGAAGTCTTGACAAAATACTGTACTATCAGATAACATTACATTTTAGGAATTTTTAAGGTATAGGTTTAGCATTGCCAAAGTTTTTAAAAATATATAAACAATTTAAACAATATTTATAGTTATCCTTAGAAAAATAAAATAAAAAACAACAAGATTCGTTACGTTTTTTTATTTAAAACTTGTTTTTTTATTTTATTTTTCTAAGGATAACTATAAACACTGTTTAAATTGTTTATATATTTTTCAAAACTTTGGCAAGTTATACCTTGAAAATACCTAAAATGTAATTTTATCTGATAGTACAATATTTTGTCACGATTGCGATGTCTCGACCACAACATTTTGCTAGCTACTACTTTATATAAAAACATGAACAAAAAATAAAAAAAACTGTATTATAGTTAATTAAATTAAATGTTATATTTATTTTTTTTTAAATTAAAAATTGTATTATAGTTATTTTAATTAAATGTTTATTGTTGTAAACTGTAATTGTATTATAGTTAATTTAATTAAATGTTTATTAAACATCAACAAGTTTTAAAAACGTAACAAATCACTTTATTAAAGACATTTAAATAAACTAAACAAATCAATAAACTAAACTACGATTTTTTGTTTGCTGAGTTATTTGTCTGATATTGATGATATTTTTTTCATGCAAAAAATTTCATTCTTAACTTTCCAGTAATGGTAAAGTTGTATATCTTCAACCTTTTCTGCTAGCAGTAAAGTATCACTTAGCTAACTATAATGTTGATGAATTTCATCTTCAGTCAAATATATTAGATTTACTGTTGAATCTTTGCATATAGCTTCATAAAACTGCCATGCATTTTGAATAACAACTTGTCTATCTTTAAACTTTTGCTATGCTATTCTTTTTAAAATTCCTCCTACCCTATCAATGGCTCCTTTTTTGTGGACTGTATCAAAAAAATTCCACTCGAAAGTTGGAATATTAAATGTCACTTGAAAATACTTCAGGAATTTTACCATAAAGATGGACCATCACTCCAAAACGTTACTTTGTGCTAAATTGAATTGGTTGCGTAAGCCTTTAAAAAATATATTACAAATGTTATGCATCCCTCAAAGATAAAAATAAAAGATATAAAAATTGAATTGTTTAAGAAAAATACCTTTAAAGTTAATTCTAGGAAAACACTGATGCATGTTTTGATGTGATCATTTTTATCTTTTAAATAAACATATTTACCATAGCAACAGTGGAGATTGTTAATTGAGATTGACTCGAATAAGCACTTTGAACTTGTTCTTGATGAGTACAGCAATTGTTTTGGCTAAGATCAAAGTGTATTAATAATTCACCATCCATAATAATATCTATTTGGTGGTGATAAAAAGACACTTGGTGACATAGTATTTTCAAAAACTCTGTATTTGTTGCATAGAAAGACTGTTTGATCAATCCCTGCTGTAGACAATTTGTAACCTTGTCTTTTTACCAATTTATGTAACTGATTCCATTCTGAATGCATTCTTCATTTTTGTTGGTAGCATTTGATTGTTAGGACAGTTAGCACAAAAATTACATGTCAGTAAGAGGCAATCTGGGGTGAGAGGGCTGCAAAGAATCCGTTTGTTTACCCAGTTTGTTTTATAAGGTTCAAAATTTAATGTTTGAGGATAAAGCGTTGCATATATTAT